GCGACCTGGAGGCACTAAAACCAATCGCTAAAAGACAGACATCGCAAACGATATTGCATGATGAGATGAATGGTGATGATGATGATGATGATGCTGATGATGGTGATGATGCTGATGGTACGGGTGATGGTGATGGTGATGGTGATGATGCGGATGATGATGATGATGATGTTGTTGATGATGATGGTGATGGTTATCGTGATTATGATGCTGATGCTGCTGATGATGATGCTGATGCTGATGCTGATGATGATGATGATGATCATGATGATGATGCTGATGATGACGATGATGATGATGATGATGATGACGATGATGATGATGATGATGATGATGATGATGATGATGATGGCGCGTAGTTGTGTAAGTGGTCAGAAGAGGAGGGAGAGGAAGGCCGTCACATGTGACACCTCTCGTCTTCACTAATTGCGGAGCTCCATGGAAATCGTTTGGGCCGTCTTGTAGCTGTCTTGGCTTCCCCTGAGGCAGTCTTGGGAGCCCCTGGGGGCCCTCGTTGGCCGTCTCGAGGCCCTCTTTGGCCATTCTTGGGGCCATCTTGGGCAGTCTTGGGTGCCTCTTGAGCCGTCTTGAAGCCCCTTTGAGTCGTCTTGGGTCCCTCTTGGGGGCCTCTTCGGCCGTCTTGGGGTTCTCTTGCGGCCCTCTCGAGCCGTCTTGGGACGTCGGATGCTCGAAAAGGCGAGAACCGCAACAAGATCGAAAAACACAGGATTCTGATTGTAGTGGCCTCCGGCCAGTGCCGCCGATCCGGGGCGCTCCGGGCGCCTGTGGAAATGAACGACGACGAGGAAGACGAAAACGACGACGAAAACGAATACGTCGACGACGACGACGACGAGAGCGACGACGACAACGACCACGACGACGACGACGACGGCGATGACGACGACGACGCGAGCGACGACGACGACGACGACGACGACGATGACGCGAGCGACGACGACGACGACGACGACGACGACGACGACGCGACGACGACGACGACGATGACGACGACGGGGGGGAGCTGGGTTGCAGGGGGGGGGGTCTGCTCTGCAGGGGGGGTCCGCTCGGCAGAGGGAGGGGCTGCAGGGGAGAGGGGGGGTCCGCTCTGCAGGGGGGGGGGGCTGCAGGAGGGGGGTCTGCTCTGCAGGGGGGGGGGGGGGCAGGGGAGGGGGGGGAGGTCCGCTCTGCAGGGGGGCGGGGCTGCACGTGGGGGGGTCCGCTCTGCAGGGGGGGGGGGCTGGGCTGCAGGGGGGGGGGTCCGCTCTGCAGGGGGGGGGTCGCTCTGCAGGGGGAGGGGGTGCAGGAGGGGGGGTCTGCTTTGCAGGGGGGGGGTGCAGGGGAGGGGGGGGGGTCCGCTCTGCAGGGGGGGAGCTGCAGGGGGGAGGTTCGCTCGGCAGGGGGGGGGTCTGCTCAGCTCTGCAGGGGGGGGGCAGGGGAGGGGGGGGGGGTCCGCTCTGAGGCTGGGAGGGGGGGGCTGGGGGGGGGGTGTCCGCTCTGCAGGGGAGGGGGGGGCTGGGCTGCAGGAGGGGGGGGGGCTCTGCAGGGGGAGGGGCCGCTCTGGAGGGGGGAGTGGGGCGAAGCACTGAATTAGGTCGGAAATAGGTCGGAAATGAGGTCCCCCCCCTCGGCAGAGCGAAGCTTGAGCGAGCTCAAGCCCACGCTCTCAGAAACTCACACGCCAGATCGGCGGATTTATGTTTGTCTCTCGAGGCCCTCTTGGGAAGGTTCTTTGGGCTCTCCTGGGACGTCTTGAAGGCCTCTTGGGCCGTCTCGAGGCCATCTCTGGCCGTGTTGAGGCCACAGTGGAGCCCGCCGGAAGGGACCCGCGAGGCCCAGATGGTAGAGATGGCAATTTCGCGGCAGAAACGAAACAGCAGATTGAGGAGGAGCAGGGGAGGAGGAGGAGGTTGAAAGGGAGGAGGAGGAGGAGGAGGAGGAGGAGGAGGAGGAAAAGGAGGAGGAGGAGGAGGGGGAGGAGGAGGAGGAGGAGAAGGAGGGGGAGGAGGATGAAAAGGAGGAGGAGGATGAGGGTAGAAGATAGAAAGTATGTGTTGCAGGGATGCCCTCGTGTGTCAGGGTCTGGCTGTAAGGTAGTACTCCATGATGTTGTGTTCGCCAGCGGTTTTTCAGCCTTCCCGTGACGCACCAGAAGCCTTGGCCGCGAGCGATTGGAAGGACTTGGGGGCATTGGCTGATACGTCGGTCGAGCTGCGCAATCTCTGGGATGCCGCGGTCGGCCTTCGAGCGGCCCTGAAACCCGGGGGCCGTCATGCGCCGACACTGGCGCGCAAGCGGCCCGCGTGAGGTCGCGCGTGAGCGCCCCTTGCTCTTCCTTCTCCTCCTCCCCCTTCCCCTTCCCCTCCCCCTCCTCCTCCTCCTCCTCTTCCTCCTCCTCCTCCTCCTCCTCCTCCTCCTCCTCCTCCTCCTCCTCCTCTCGACGGAGCTGGCGTGCCGCCCGGGCGGCCCGCGTAAGCCACAAGGTCGGCACGCCATCTCGCGCAGGACCCGCTTTTGGATCGTCGCTCCACTTGGGGGAAAGCGCCGGCTCCGGCCAGTCGCGGGGCCCCCGAGGGGCCCGAGGTCCTCGTGTTCCCCGCTTCTGACCCCTCCGAGCTCCGCGAACGTCGAGCCTTCGGCCCCGCACGCATGTGAGAGGACCGTCCACGCCGGTCGGAGGTAGAGAGGACAGGAGGAGGAGAAGGAGGGGGAGGAGGAGGAGGAGGAGGAGGAGGAGGAGGAGGAGGAGGAGGAGGAGGAGCGTTATCGTTGACATCAGTGCCATCAGCGCCCAGCGCCCAGCAGGAGGGGGAGGAGGAGCTGCCGCAGCAGCAGGCCGAGGAGCCACATCGGAAGGAAGAGGTCGAAGAAGACACGGGTGAGCCGAAGCAAGGTTTTGTTTCTCTCACCTACTCCCACATCTTACCACAACCACTCCCCCCTCCCCTGCAGCGCTTCTGGGAAAAGCAACCTCCTGCATGCATCGCTCTGCACGGCCCCGCTGGCAGCACCCCGAAAGCACTCATTGCGCATGCCGCCCGCAAGGCGAAACCTCCGACGCAGTACCTGCATTCCCGCGCAGCCCGACGTTTCCCCCTCGCTCTCGCGTGCTCTCCGCGTCCTGCCATGCGCGGCGGCTCGCTGAGGCGGAGGATAAGATGCCCTGGCGGCGCGCTGGAGGCATGCAGTAGCCCGCCCCTGGTGCTGAGCCGCCGCCTCGATCGGGAGAGGCGGCTCCTGCCTTCGGAGGTAGAACGTGCCGCTGAGGACGCCCAACGGGGGGGAGCTCGAAGGGGCCCTGGGGGAGCCGTCCCCCCAGAGGTTCCAGGCCGCCGAGGTGGGACCCGAGGCGATAGGGGGCGGATAGGGCCGCATCGCTGATGCATCGGCGTTGCGACTCGATCTGGATTTCAATTCTTGACGCTTCGCGCGTCCCCAGGCTTTCTTGAGGCCTCTTGGAGACTGTCGTGAGCCATGTTCGGCTAGAGGCTGTCGGAGGCTCTCCTGAGCCATGCTGTCTTGGACCGTCTTGCGGCTGTCTTGAGGCCTCTTGGAGTTCTGTCGGAGGCTATCTTAAGCCAAGCTCGACCTCCTGGGACCATCTTGGGGGTAGTAGGAGGAAGTGGAGGAGAAGGACGAGGAGGAGGATGAAAAAGAAAGAAGGAGGAGGAGGAGAAGAAGAGGAGGAGGAGGAATGCGGCACGAGGAAGAGGAGGAGGCGGAGGAGGGAGGAGCAGGAAAGGAGGAGGGAAGGAAGGAACAGACGGTGACAAGGAGGAGGAGAAGTCGCGCTTTGCAGGTATTGTTGTTCTGAGAGGTTCTTGAAGACGACGAAAGCCATATTAGGGGCTCTCTTGGGGCCCCCGTGGGGCCTCTTGGAGCACTCTTCGGGCCATCTTGGGGCTAATGTTTGGGGTCTTGGGGCCCTCTTGGTGCTCTCTGGATGTGTCAGGGAGGCCTCCTGGGGCCATCTTGGCCCCCATAAGCCAAAAAGAGCGGGGGGAGTAATCCAGGCCCCCCCCCCCCTAGGAAACTCAGAAATGGCGTCTTGAGGCCATCTTGGGCCGCTCTTGGGGCGCTGTTGGGCGCTCCCGGGGCCCTCTTGGAGCCCTCTTGGGCCCCTCCGGGGGGGGCTCTCTTCGGATCGTCTGGGGGCCACCGTAAGGCCTCAAGAGCCCATCGGAAGCGAAAAAGCGAGAAGGCAAAAACATACATAGATACATTGTCCTTCGGTTTTGGAGCCATTTTGGCCTCTTGGGGGGGTCCTTGGAGGGCTCGCTGATGCATCGGCGTGGCGACTCGGTCTGGACTTCAATTCCCCTCATCCCGACGTCGCCGATGCATCGCCGACGCATCGGCGAAGCGGTGCGATTCTTCCGTATTGATTTGCTTTGGCCCTACCCGGGCGGTTTCCAAAGATGACGCCAGAGACCGCCAGAAGGCCTCCCAGGCCCCCCAAGAAGCCCCTTAAGAAATGGCTTTGAACAGGCCCCGTAGAGGCCCCCCAACAGACCCCAAGATACCTCCAACAGGCTTCTGTTCCACCACCCAGGCATGGTGATGGAGTGGGCCGAAGACCATTAGGTAAGTGTTTTCGATGGCGCATGGTAGTTGGTCCCAGCTCGTTTCGTGGGGATCGGTATGATATTGAACAGGCAGAGGCGTCACCGCGAAAGAAAGCTCGCAGTGCGATGCAAACACGCATGAAAGTTCGTGAGCGTGGCGGAGAGGTCTGCCAAGCTTCGTCAACATGAATATGTTGTATTCGGAGCTTCTGGGGGGCACGTTGGTTTCGGACTGATTTGAAGTCCCAGGGGGGCTCGACATCCTTGTTCTGAGTCATGTTTCCTCTTTTGTTTTTCTCATTATCTTGCTCTCTCTCTCTCTCTCTCTTTCGTTTTCTCTCTCTCTCTCTTTCTCTCTTATCGTTCCCTTGCGGATTTTATTATTATGCGATTCGCCAGCGGCAGCTAAAGCATCAGCATTCTCATCTTGATCCCCATCAACATCACACTCACCATCACCACCATAGTCGCCCACCCTGGCTCAAGTAACAACGTAGAGTTAGTGCAGATTCTTTCCATGGTGGAATTATCATGTTTCTCTTTATGCCCAGCATGCCCGCCATGCGCGCAGGATCGACGGGCAAAACAGTCGACCCGTCGTGCTTCCTGGTCATCAGCGTCGTTTTCAGGAGAGTCAAATTCACCGTGGAATGTTCGAACGGTTGCGAAGATGCATGTCTTCCGTTTCTGTAAAAACACGGACGGAGGACATACGTGGGATGTTTTTCTCTTGCAGAGATTTTCCTGCTGTTTCGGGCACTGCGCGCCACGGCCACACGCTGTTCCTGACCGACTCGCACGGCGGGGAGCACAGGATGGCGATTGTTCAATCGCTTCGCACATTCCGCCGGCTCACAATGCGCGCCACTGTCGACTACCCGAGTGGTCGTCGGCAGAGGCCCCTCGGGAGCGAATGGAGGGTTCTTGGGGGCATGTGTGGGGCATCTTGGGAATCTTTCGGGGCCCCCCAGAGTTCTTGTGGGGCATCTGTGGAGCGTTTGGAGGGTTGTCAGCGACCTCCTGGGGGCACATTGAAATCATATTAGGAGTCGTCAGGGGTCTCTGGAGCGTGCCTTTTCGGGGTCTGCTCGGAACTGTCTTGGGGAGTTCGCGGACGGTCTGGGGGCGCCGTTTCGGGGGAGTTCTCGGACGGTCCGGGAGCGATCTCGGGGGTCATCGGGGCGTCTCAGGCACAAAGAAGCCCAGAAGTTGCGGGCGCCAGAAGACCAGAAGATGCATGGCATCTTTGGTTAGTGAGGGGACTTTTGTTTTATGGGCCCTCTTGCAGAGCCTCTTCAGGATCTCGCTTCGCGGCAGCTCCCAGGGCCGTCTGGGGGCCATCTTGGGCGCTTCGGAAAAATATGTCGGCGACGCGTGGCCATCTTAGATCGTCTCAACGGCCTCTCAAGTGCCGTTCGGGGCCCTCCTGGGCACGTTCGCGAAGCGCCCTGGGGGCCCAGAAGGCCGCGCTCGGGGCGGGGGGGGGGCAGCAGCGCGCGAGCGAACTAGAATATTACGCGCCTCTGGCCCTCTGGGCCGCCAAATTGTTCGCCGCCCATGCCCAGCAAACGTCCGCAGCTTCAGGGGACGGGGTCGCTGCCGCGCTCTCGATGCGAGGTGGCGCGGCGACGAATCTTTTCTCATCGCGAACGGCCACAGGCTTGCGACGAGGGATTCAGACCCTGGCGAATACGAGTTAGGAGTGAATTTTTGGATGGTAGCATTCAGAGTAAACGCGACACGGACACTGCGATTGGCATGGATGCCCAGTGCGCGATTGGCGGCAGCGCGCCTGCGTTGAAGACGAGCAGACGCGCGGATATAATCAGCCCCCATCGACGGGCATCCATCGATGAGTAGCCGCGCCGCGCCATCCGACCACGGGGGCTTGGTTCGTGGACGCGACCGAGACAGGACGCGGGCCCTCGGCGTTTCGAGCCCGCTCGGCCCAGCCAGCCAAAGCCCGACGGTTGGGAGTTAAAGAGGTTCTCGTTCAACACGGTTGTAATGGATGAGTTGGGCCCCTTTTCCGCTGCCCCAGATCAAAGGCATCCGCCTCGCAGATGGCGCATGTTCGCGGGCGGCTGCGCCGCGCGGAAACGCGATCGTCGCGAAAAGGAAGACAGGATGGGGCATCGCCATCTACCGTCGCGGCGTCGACAACCTTTCGCTGGGGGAGCGCGCTCGCGTCGCGGCTGAGGGCGCCGTCGCGCTGGATCAGAAGCCGCTGAATCCCATCAGAGCCGACAGGCGCGCGAAACAACGCGGAAGAACTCCCCGCTGCGAAGGAAGCACGCCCCCATCGTTTGGTGATCTCGCAGCTGGCAGGCGACGCCGAGTTCGGCGCGCGCCCGCGCAGAGGGATAGCGCGGCGGCCCCCCCAGACTTGCGCCATCGGTCCGATGACCGGCGGTTTCAGCCCGCGCGAGAGCGTCGACGCTGTCGGGGGGGAGAGAGGCCAGATCTCACCTAAGGCCGGGTTGGGGCGCAAATCCCAGGGACAAACACATTGTCCTTGAGCGTGTATGTCACGCTCTGCAACCTGGCACGGGCCAAGTGAAGCGCCCCCCCCCCCCCCCCCCTTCCCCCCAATGGCATTGCGCGTCGAGCAGCGGCGGTGAAGCGCGCGTCACATACCGAAAAAAAAACATTCGTGCTCTTCGAGCGACTGCGTAAGTTCTGCGGGCCTCCTTGAGGGGGGGCTTGGCTTCGTTTGTTTTTTTGCGCCTCCGAGGGTGGGCCGCTGTCGCTGCGGGCGGTCGGGAGCTGTGCCCATGGGGCCCCCGCGAGGTCTCGACGGGGCCTCCCCGGGTGTTCCGCGGGGCGCGTGTCCGGCGGGTGGCCCAGGGCGCGCCGCCAGGATCTCGGCTCCGCCATGCAACAACGGCGTTTTTGCAGGGCCTTTCACGCGGAGAAACGCATTGGAAACCACGCCCGCCGACCCGTCGAGATCTCAGCTTCTGCCAAAAACGCGTGTCGACCGTCGAAAACGAAATTCCGCCGTCGGGAGGGAATCCGGCGCGCGCGTCGCCGCAGGGCCGGTCTCCAGACCCCGGCGGCCCCGCAGGGATCGGCGCGCGGTGCGTCCCAGATGATTCCATGGGCCCTTCCAAGGCAGTTCGCGGGGCTCCACGAGAGCCCCGCGAGGGCCCCAACGAAGGCCGAAGTTCCTTCCAGAGAGCCCAATTAGGGCCCCACTACCCCTTCACGAGAACCCCAAGAGGGCCCCCAGAAGCCCAGGGAGGACCCCGGACGCACGCGACGCGACTGCCCGGGTGGATAACGAACTGCACATTGCGCAGCTCAGGATGCTCAGGCACGCTCAGGCACGCGGCAGCCAGCTTTCCGCGAGCGAATCTAAGCAAGTTTCTCGGTCAGCCCCACTTGGCCCAGAACCCCACCGTCAGTCTGCCCCGGAACTGCTGCGTCGACCAGACACACCGTGGACGCGGCGCGCGAAGTCTCTGAAAAAGTATGACGCCGTGCGTCAGGGGGCACAGCGGACGCGAAGGGAACCGCGTCGCGGATAACTTGGCGGAGCAAACGAGGTATATGAGCGACGCGTCACTCGACGGGTGGGGTCGCCCTAACACGCCCGCCAACCGGGGGGGCGGGTGGGGGGTTCGATGCTTCCAGAAGCTAGGCCGCCTCATGCCTTGCACGCAACCGCAGTTCGTTCGCGCGCCCAGCAGCGCCTCCCGCGTGCCAGGGGCACCCCAAGGCCACGCCAACTGCCGTGGACCCTACATTTGCAATTTCGACGGTGGTTCCGAGACGCGGCAAACCACCGCACTTTCGACAGGTCAAACTCGGGGAGGAGGAGAAGGAGGAGGAGGAGGAGGAGGAGGAGGAGGAGGAGGAGGAGGGGAAAGCTAAGACGCCACGAGGAATGCAACGAACGAGGAGGTTGACATCTCATGGGGATGGAAGAGCCAGGCCGTTCAAGGACATGGCGCATCTACTTCGCCAGAACGCGGCGAAAGAGTTTCATTTGAAAGCGGACGAAAGCACCTCCAAAGGAAGAAAGCCAGGACATCCCCGACCAAAGCCGAGGATAGATTGGGAGATGGGGGCGGTAAGGGGGGGAGGGTCTTCGACCTGGAGGAGAAGATAGATGCGCTCGCCAGGTTCCATGCGGGGTCGTTCACGCCCAAGCCCCCGAACGAGCTGCCCCCACATGGATCGTTTATCAGCAGCGGCACGCCAGCGACTTGACGAAGCTGACATCCATGTCTTGTTCTCTTTTGAGGGAAGCACGTCCCCAGTTGCATATTCAGAAGGTGCGAGCAGGATTCGGGCTTCATTGTGGCCGAGATGCACCCGCAACCATCTGTGTTACCGACGCGTTTTCTTATGGCAACGCATGTAACTGCTCGAAAGAGTGCGTCCTTGTTCTTGCTTGTGCACTGGGCTACGTCGTGGATTTTTCTGCCGGACCAGCTGGACAGAGGAAAACGCAATGGCGTATGAGGATTTGCAGTATCTCGTTTGCAGCAACCTGAAGGCGCATCGAGAAAACTCGGATATCAATCCCTGGGATGAGTTTCCTTCTGTTGCAGTTCTACTCCTGGGCCGGCATCGTTGCTAGAAGTGGAGAAATATGAGAAAACGCGCCTGGTGGAGAACTTACCCAAGGAGAGGGATGTCGACTGCCGGGAGAAGGTGGACGAATGGTTCGATACACGGCCGCAGTGTCACGGCTGACATATCAAGATCTGGAGGTGGGAACGACGATTAATCCTCTACATATGTTTGGGGTACATATTGGAGAATGAGAGCGCGAAGCCGTGAGAGCGGGGAACGAGGCTTTGATGATTGCGCGTCTCGTTGTCATGTGTGGTTCCCCCGCTTTAGCAAAGAGCTATACACTCTTGCTCCAATTGCTGCCACCTGGAGCTTTAGGACTGTAGACCCCTCACCCGCAACATCACCAGCATCAGCAGACTGATGTTCGCTTGCCTTGGTTACCGCCACATTCGCCAGCCGTTGCGACAAGAAGGATGGGAAAAGGAGAAGGAGAAGGAGGAGGAGGAGGAGGAGGAGGAGAAGGAAGAGAAGGAGATTCGGGGGATGGGTAAGGTGTAGGAAAAACAGGGGGTAGGAGAAGAAGCAGGAGGAGCAGCAGCAGCACCAGGAGGACCAGAAGAGATTGGTTGAGGAGGGAGTGGGTGGATAATAGGATGAGGCGGAATGGTGGGAACCAGGAAGAGAGAGGTTTGGGGAGACGTCCGAGAAAGGGAAGGAGGAGAAGGAGGACGGCCCTTCCGACGAGAACCCCTACGCGAATGTAGCCGTGGCGAGGAAGGTATCCCAGGCGCTTGTAAACAAACCCCGAGAAGCTCGAAGTCCTCTGTGGAACTGCTTTCTTCGATCCTCGTGCGCTTTCCAGCCTCGGGGTGCCTTCCAGCGGCTGCGCCGCCTCGCCGTGGGCGTCCCAGAGGCGCCCGGATCATCCTGAACGGCCGCCAGAGAGCCGAGTTATGATCCGAAAAGGGCGGGGCAACGATGGGGGGGCTTTTGGAGATGGCCAGGGGGATAGGAGTTCAACGAAGGCTTCTGGGGTGTCGACTGGGGAGAATCCCCGGGAGGTGCAGGGCGAGAAGCAGGAGGAGCGAGGAGGGGGGCAGACAGAGGCATCAGGGGAGGCCTTGTCCACCTGCAACGTGTCAGTGCGTGTGCAGCTCGATCTGCCCCCCCCAGTTCGGGGGCAACGAGAAGGGAGGGATAGCCCTTATCAGTGGAGGAGCAGGGTAGTACCCATTGGTCGTTGGAAGTACATATTTTTGATCCCAATATCCCAATCTGCATTAAGCGCCTTCCTACTTCAACCATCGAGTAGCTTCACATTTTTCGTCCTCCCAAGGTGGCGGGCGGAACCCACTGAACTCCCACGGCGTTCCTACTTCGTATTTCTACCTACTCCTTCCGACCGATGGGTACCGATACCGCCACCCTTCCCTCGTTTTCCCTTTCCTGGGCCTCCTTGGATGCTCTCGTCGCCACCGCTGGATTCGCTTCGAAATTCATGTCAGAACGCACCCTGGGAGAGGTCCGGGGAGTAAAGGTATCTTTTTGGCTTCCCCTTAGCAGACCTACCACGAGAGTGCGAAGTTAGTCGCGCTTCTCGGTCTGGGCGATTTCAGAGCAAGCGCGAGTCCCTCATCTTGCTCAGGGCGGGGGCGGCGCGAAAGCCCGAAGATAGTTTCCCTAAGGATAGTCCCCAAGGGGGAAGTCCCTCTGGGCTCGACGACTTTTCGCCAATCGACTTGTTGGGATGAAGCCTGATAAATCAAGGTGAGTGCAGACAAATTTAGATAAGTTCTAGTAAGTATACGCAAATGTTGGGAAACCCAGAGATCTCCAGGGACATTGGGAGCAGTTCGTGGCCGCTTCAGCGCGAGTCGGGGGACGACAGAAGTCGTTAAGCCCTTAACGAGATAGGCTCAGGAGGGTACAGTCGACCCGCATAGTAAGGATGGGCAACCTTCCCAGGAGTACCCTTGCATCCTTGCCCCATTCGGCCCATCATTGGCGACTTTCGCTGGCCAACCTCGTTCGAAAAACGTTCATATGGCCCTCCAAGGCCCTTGCAGCCTTACCGCGCATCCTTCTGATACGGGTCGACTGTACGCATCGACTCCAAATCGCCCATTGATCGCCGATAGGGGCCCGATAGCCCACCCCGCCCGTGGACGTGCGGTTTCGCTCTCGGGGGCCCATCGCCGATCTATCGGCGACGTATCGCCGAATCCAGGTCGATGTTCCCCCTCCTGCGCCGCTCCCCCCCCCTGCCGTTCCCCCTCAGCAGTCTCCTGGACCCCCCCGCCCTCGCCAAAGTTTTAAGGTGCGCGCCGTGTGCGCATCGCCCAGATTGCTTGGCAATAGGTAGAAAGTCTCGTCGTTGAAGCGGTGTTGGTTCTTCTCTGCAGGAGGTGCCTCTCTGAAATATGCGACCGCTCTCGATGCTCACAACTCCCTTGACACATTTGCTCTTTTGTTCCACTGGTGAGGCTGTTTTATGATTCAGCGCGTGGACCATGTACCGACAGCTGTGGCGATTGCTTGCGTGCGGCCGCAAGTGATACGTGAAAGTATCGTCGTAGACCGATCTGGATCATGATATAACATGTGTTGTTCGTCACGCTAGCCCAACGATGCAACACGCATATAGATGATTATATGTTGCGGTCAGTTCGCCATCACAACTTGGATGTTGCGACGATGTGCGACATGTGCAGCGTTCGTGTCCAGCTAAATGTAGAGATAAGATAAATATGTGAAGTTGCATGCGATGATATTGCATGCGAGCACATTATGGATTAGTGTGAGGCCATGTTGATGTGCAAAGAAAGCCTCGACTGAAAGCGTACCATCAATTGTGCATGCGTCAATGCATATGTTCATATGTGGCACGACGAAGGCGCCGAGCGGTGTTACGTTGTTCTCGTTTGCGTGGCCGAAGTCGGATGCTCGTTGTTGCTGTCATTGTCGTCGTCGTCGCTCGCCACACGGCACGCCCACGACTCACCGACGACCCTCCCCGCGACCCACCCGCGCTCCACCCGCAACTTGTTTAAATACCCGCGACCCGCCACATGGCCCACTCGCGCCCCAACCCGCGCCTCGCCTAGCGACCCACCAGCGAACCACTCGCGGCTCCCCCAACACATTGGCGACCCACCCGCGTTTTCTCACATACCCGCGACCCGCCCCCACGACCCGCTCGTGACCCACTCTCGCGAACCACCCGCGACTCGCCACTGACCCACCCGCAACCCACTTACATCGTTTTGCAAAATAAGTCACCGCTTTCGTCGGGTTCCTGCCATTGGCTCTCGAACCTTGCGACCCGCCGAGCGCACACCCACACTGCTTTGCAAAGCCAAACACGTCAGCGACTACGGCGGGCTGGCCGTTAGAGGAACAAAACAAAAACAACAACAAAAACAGCGCTTGCGGCGGGCAGTTGTGGACAAGAGCGAGGGGTCGGGGTCGTCGGCGGCGTGGGAGGCTTAAGATCACATGGAAACGATCGTTGTGAACGCAGAGTTGTCTACCAGCGAGCCCTCCACAGGCGCTTTCATGTTGCAAAACAATGTCGGTTGGTCGCGGCGTGGGTCGCGGGTGAGTCGCAGGTTGGTCGCGGGGTGGGTCGGTGGTGGGTGGCGGGTAGGTCCCGGGGTGGATCGCCGCTGGGTCGCGGGGCGGGGCGCAAGTGGGTCGCGATTGGGTCAGGGGGTGTGTCGCGCGAGTGTTGTGGCTGGGTCGCTTGTGGTTCGCGGGTGGATGACGGGGTGGGTCGAGGGGTGCGTCGTGGGAGGGTCGCGGGTGGGTCATATGGTGGGTCGCGCGGTGGCTCTTGGGGCGGGTCTCGAGTGGGTCGCGGGGGCAGCAAGCAACAAGGACGACAGTCCGAGCTGCGGACCCCACTTCAACCACTCACCCAGGGTGAGACAGTTCGGCCATTCGCTCTGATCTCGACGCTCGAGCCCCGTAGCCCTGGCGGCGGCCCAGGCGCACCCTCACTCGTATCCACAATTGCGCCCCGTGTCCCTGGTGCCGCCTGGGAGGGTTTCGCAAGAACGATTTCACGTTAATCTTGATTGGGGTCCGGATAAAGCGGTTCTTCGTTATCGGGTTCAGGCTGATTAGTTGGATTATGCCAGATTGGCTGAAATGTTCGACCAAGGATCTACCAGCGCTTGTGTTGAATCTAGTTTCCCAGGATGTGTATCCGAGAGTATGCATGTAGTGATCCGAAGATGCAGAAGAAACGCAGGGCGCGCTTGACATGATTGTTGCAGGCGCCTATGTTGTTTGTTCTCGAATGAGCGCTTGTACTAGAGGGGTCCTCGCGGATGTTGGAAGGATTTGGCGAGAGTGGGTTGCCGATGTCCGTAAGTGGCAGGGTTTCTGGACTCCTGGGTCTTAGGTTCCAGGCAGTGTGAGGATTGTTTGCGGTGTGCGGCCGAGTTCTTAGGTTCCCAGCTCCGGGTTTCGGTGAACAGTTCTTTGTGCGATCGGGTTGCCGAGTTCCCCTAAAGAGAGAGAACAGAAAGAGTGGAGAGTAGAGGGAGTGGGCATATCAAACATGTAGAGGGAGAAAAAAAGAGTGGATAGAGCAACGCAGTGAGTGATGGAGAGGGAGGGAGTGCTAACAGAGAGCAGTCAGAACACATCCAAGATTGTAAGGTGCACCTGTCTGCATATATGAATCACAGCATCCGAATTCAGCGGTTGCAGCATGAGCTGACGCACGACGCGACGGGCACGAGCAGCACGGCGATATACAGGAGCATGCCCGCGCGGTCCAGCAGTGCAGCGCCGAACAGAACGACAGGGTGAGCTCGCGGCGCTGACAACCGCGCGCGAGGAGCTCGATGGATGGCAGGATCCTGACATCGTGCAGGTCGGCGGGATCCTGCAGTACGACGGGCTCAGTCAATACTGCGCTGAAGAACACGGCTTTGGGGCGCGGTGGCGAGCTGCACCCATGATTCTGACATCAATCACGAGTCGAGGGCCGCGTCTGGCGCGATGTGGTACGACAGTAGCGTGTACAATTCTATTAGCACCGTGTTTCTGAGCAGCGTTTTACTTGACCAGCACCACTATGGAGGGCAGTAGTACGGACACCACAGCAGCACAGTGGGCGAAAACCACGTCGCAGAACAGCTTGAGAATTCTGACGTCCAAAGTGGCACGAGCAGAGCGACGAACACACCGATGAGCACAGCAGCAGGACGGCCTGGACAGCCATGCGTGAGACGAGCAGTGCGACGAAGGCCACTTTTCTGAGCGTCATGTCGATCACCAGCAGCGCGACGCTGCACAGCATCGCAAACCGGGTATTCACGAGCGACACGGGCAGTGCGACGATCACCGCGCCGTTGAGCAGCAGCGCGGCGTGTACATCCATTTGTGTGGCGAGCAACTATGCGGGGACCGCGTCTATGAGCGGCATTTTGACGTCCAGCACCACGACGCTGGACGGCATCGTGGCCCCTCATCCACAAGTGGCACGCGCAGTATGATGCGCGCGCCGCATCACCCGGCAGCGGCATGGCGACAACATCTGTGAGCGAGACAAGCAGAGCGACGGAAATGCCTCGCATGACCATGGCGACGACGAGTAGTACCACGGTAACCTGCAGCACGCAGGTACCAGCAGTACGACGGTCACCAGCATTGGGCTGAGCGGCGGGCAGGCAGTGAGCGTGAATCGTTTCCTCCTGTTTTACGTTGTGCGAACTCAGATCGACTGGGATCTTAGCGACTGTGTTTCCTCCTTTTCTTGAACGGCAGGCAAACTCAGATGAACTGGGATCGTAGACTCTGCGCGTCCTCCTCCTTCAAATGACCAAAAACTGGCATAAGTATGAACTTTTGGAGGTCCGCGCAGATTTCTTGGATCCGCGCTGGGCCCTCCTCCCTGGCGCGCGGAGTGCGCCAGGGGCGGCGCCGGAGGCGCCGCCAGGGGGCCCAGCGCAGATCCAAAAAATCCGTGCGGAGCTTTGGAAGTTTATGTTTATGGCGTTTCTTTTTCTTCTTCTTATTCGATATTTTTCCCTTCGATTCCTTCCCTTCGATTCCTCAGCCTCCTCCTCCTCCTCCTCCTCCTACTCCTCCTCCTCCTTCCCCTCCGATTCCTTCCCTTTGGTTCTTCCTCCTCCTCCTCCTCCTCCTCCTCCTCCTCCTCCTCCCCCTCCTCCTCATCCCCCTCCCCCTCCTCCGATTCGCGCCCTCTTTCTGTTCCCCTTCGATCCGTTCCCTCCCCCCCAGCTGGTGGGCCTGGAGCCCACCGTGTGCGCCGGCCGCGCGCGCGGCTCCGTGGAGCCCGCGGGCCACCAGCTCGGGCTCGCCGCCCGGCCGTGTTCGGCGGCGAGCGGGGGGGGCCCTCGACGGTCTAGGCCTCCTCCTCCCTGCTCCTTCCTCCCTCCTCCTCCTCCTCCCTCCTCCTCCTTCCTCCTCCTCCTTCCTCCTCCTCCTCCTCCTCCCTCCTCCTCCTCCTCCTCCTCATCATCATCATCCTCATCCTCATCCTCATCCTCCTTCTCCTCCCTCCTCCTCATCCTCCTCCTCCTCCTAGATGGGGTCGGAGTAGATGGGGTCGGAGGATCGCGCCGCATCGCCGACGCATCGGGGATGCATCGACGGTGCGGCTCGATGCGGAGCCCGGTTGGTTTCACGTCGACGTCGCGGATGTATCGCCGACGTCGCCAGTGCATGGCCGATGCATCGCCGATGCATCGCCGATGCATCGCCGATGTATCGGCGATGCGGCGAGATTTTCCGACCTCATCTGCTCGGACCCCATCTAGGGGGCCCTCGACGGGCCCCATGGGGCCGGCAAGAGAGGCCTCAGGATTTGAGAAGCCAATCCCAGGGAGTGGGCCAGGGCTTCTGGGGGTCCACGTTGTGGGAAAGAATGGCGCTGGGAGGGCCTCCATGCAGGGAAAAGAAGACTTGGGGTCGACGATAGGGGTGGGGACCTGCGTGGGGGGGGACGCGGGAAGTGAGAAGGAGAAGGCCTTCTCAGAAGGCGGCGGGACTTCTCAGAACCCCTCGCGCCTTCTGAGAAGGTTTTTTTTCGTGGCTTCTCGGAGGGCGTAGAAGAGTTCTCAGAAGGCCGGGGGTCTTCCGAGCCTTCTGAGAAGGCCCGCCCCTTCTCACTTCCCCCCCACGCTCGCCGCCGACATGTCCACGTCACCACCGCGCACGGTGTCTTCCGCTTAGAGCTTTAAGGCGGGCATGTTCTTCTGCAGGAGGAAGATTCAAGCATAGGTTTAAAAATAGTATTGGGACGATTTGTCGTGCTCTTCTGGCTGTTTTGGCTAATGTTGTTGACTACTTCTACTTCTCTTTCAAAATCCGCCGGCAGGAGGACAGGCCCGACCTAATGTTAGCTTCGTGTTGAGCTTAAGCTGGCGCGCGCGTTCGCACCCAACGTGGGTTTTGATACAGCTGTCGATAAGCGTCTCTGATCGTCTTTCTCTCCCCTTGTCGCTTCCGCCTTCCGCGCCATAGCACTCCAGGCATGTGATGATTCTGTCAACCGCGGCGCAGTATGGGTTGCAGGTTGTTGTTTGTGTTGTGCGCTTCACTTTCACTTGCCGTTTTGCGACGCCTAGTTATCTTGACGGTCGGTTGGACCGTGTAAAGATTCGCGCACACAGCGCCACTGTCAGTCCCCGTGACCTCGCTTCTGTCCTCCACCTCATCCTCCCCATCCTCTCCACGACTCCAGTGGTGACGTTGCTTATCCTGCCGCGAGCGAGACTGCGCATTGATTCCGTGACAGCCCATTTGGGAACATATTATTTTAGTGGTGAATCGCCGTTCCCCTAACGGGCCTTCTCTGTTCTTCGGGGCGAACAGAGGTTCGAACCCCGCTGTACGAGCTCCTAGCTTCCTCACCGCGCCCCTCTCTGTTCGTAGCCGTCGTCTTCATCATCCCTCTCCGGTCTCACGCTTTCACAGGTGGGCGCTGCAAGTGACACGCCGAGGGTGCCCAGGCGTGGCTCATCGGACTGCGCCGTCGTGAAAGGTGAAGGTCATATACATGTATACGTATATTTGTACGCTGACGTATACATACACTGATTTGTGCACACACGTGCGCCCACGCTTATACCAGGGTTGCACTCGTGCCACATCCCCGAGACTTGGGGTGAAATGAACTTTCCCGAACCAGGATATCGGTTTCTATTTTGGTTTGCGCCGCGCGTGCGAACGAGTCGAAGTTGAGTGAGGACGGCTACAGTCAACCCGCATAGCAAGGATGAGCAATTGTCCTTGCATGCTTCTCCGTCGGCGTTCGCTGGCCGCGCCCCGCTTGCAGAGTGTCGGCATGGCCTTCCAAGGCCCTTGCATCCTTATCGCGCGTCCTTCTTACACGGGTTGATTGTACGTGTCGGCCGAGGTGATGGCCAAGGTGGGCAAAATGTATCGCCCTCGGGTATTCGGCGGTGGGGCGCAGTGTTGTCCCTTGTTTGTGTTGTGGTTGTTCTGTGGGTTGTAATTTTGGTTGGCCCGCGGTTGTCGTGTGTGGTGCCGTGGGTGGGGTTCATAGGGGTGTCATGTGTCATGTGGCTTTCCTCTGCTTGTCATGTGGTTATCTCGTGGTTGTCTCGCGGGCTGTCCCGTGGGTTGCGCCGTGGTTGTTGCGCGGTTTGCGCCGTGGTTGTTTTCTGGCTGACCCGTGGGTTGCCACGCGGGTTGTTGCCTTGCGGTTGTCTTGCGGTTGTCTTGTGGGTCGTCCCGTGGAGTTTCTTTTTTTGTCCCGTGGGGTGTTCGGTGGGTCGTCCCGTGGTTGGTTCGTGGTTTGTTATGTAGTCCGTCTCGTGGTTGTCCCGTGGGTTGTCCCATGGTTGTCCCGGGGGGTCCCGCGATTGTCCAGCGTGTTGGCCCACGATTGTTTTGTGGATGTCTTGTGGGGAATTAAAATCGAAGCGCATCAGAAGCAAACATCATAAATGAATACTGAATGCAAATCGGCGTGTAAACGTGAAGCCGACACGCACCTGGAATTGCAAATCAGGTCGTGCACACATGCAATCATAATGCAAGCCAACATGAACGCCGACACACACACACACACACACACACGCACACACACAATCGCAAGTCGAAATTCAAATCTAAGTGCACGCGCCTACTTGCAATTGGCATGCACACCGAAATGCAAGCTCTTCCGACCCAGCACATCCTTCTCACCCGAAGGGTGTTCTATGAGATATGCTATGCAGCTTCTCGGGTTGGCCGAGACATCAGGCCGTTGCGGCGCCCTCGTTCTGCGTTGCGTCGTTGCCCGTGCCCCCCTTTGCCACCACTCAGCTCTTACAGTGTAATTTGTCGTTGCTCTCGATCCCCCCCTCTCTTCCCCATCCTGCTGCTGCTGATCATCCTCATCCCTCATCATCGTGTCCCGTCTGCTGTTATCTTGTTCCGCCTCCTTCCTACGTTTGCTCACGATTCTGATCTTCCTGATCCTGATCATCGGCCCGATCCTTTTCTTCCTGACAGGAGCGCGTTGACGATCTTGCCCTTGCCTGGAGCACCAAGGATGTGGATCAGGATCAGGTCTGTGACAGTCAACATGGATTTATATATATAGCGAGAGAGGTTGATAGATCTATAAAAAATAATGTGTTTATCTATATATATATATATTGAAGGTGAGCGCGCTTCCAGAAATTACTTCTGCATCCCTCCCTGGCGGCCCACCCCTGGCCACTTTCGCCGGCCGCGCCCCGCTCGAAAAGTGCCGACATGGCCTCCAAAGGTCCCTGCACCCTCAGCGTGCATCCTTAGTGTACGCGTTGACTGCACGGCCTGATCCTCCTACAGTGGAAGCCCATGCCAAGAAACACCCTGCTTGCCTCCAGGGCGCCCTGGGCATCTGGAGTTTCGACGGTTCTGCTGTGGAAAGCGCGACGCTCCCACACACACACACACACACACACACACACACACACACACACACACACACACACACAAAAGCAAAAAAAAAAACGTCCCAGGGTCCCTGTCGAGCTCCTGTGGTCGAGCTCCTGCCGCAGATCACCCCCGGAGTACCACCGCCCGATTCGGGTGCGGTCGCCGCCCGTGAGGGGCGCCTCGCCTCCCCGGGGAGCTCGCTGCCGCCCCCGTCCGCGGCGACACCGACGGCGGATCCGGCTCAGAGTATCGGGGGCGGAAAAGGGGGGGGGGATGACTAGGGGGGGGATATCATGGCGGGGCCAGGATGTTTCCCCAGATGTCATGGCGCCTCTTGTTATTTCACTACGTCCCTGGCGCCCCCCGCTGGGCCGCGCACATGCCGCCGGTCATGATTTGCACCCCCCCCTCTTGGACACCCCCCTCTTGGCCGCTCCCGAGAGTAAGCAGGAGATGCGGCCCGTCCTCGTGCCCATGCTTTCCGTGCCCGCTTCGATCGCGTCGTCGCCGCCGTCGGCTCGAGCTCTTCGTGCCGCCCTGCTGATCGCCGGGCCTCCCGCTCCCGAGCCCCTACTTACCAGCCTCGAACGTATCCCTACCCCTAAGATTGACACGCCAAGAGGCGATGACAATCTCAGGGATCCGCCCTCAACAAATAAGGGAGTCCCTGAGATTGGCATCGTGATGAGGAGGTGCCCAGCATAGGGACAGAGTTTTGTTCCAGGCCCACGTCCTGGCCCACGTCCTGGTGCCCAGCATAGGGATAGGGACATGTTCCAGGCTGGTAACCCGCCTCCTCCGCGGTCCTCCCCTGCACCCCGGAGGAGGCCCGGCCAGAGGCGCGCGCCCGGGCCATGGCGCGGCCCCAGGGCGGCCGCGGCGGGGGCCATGAGTGGGCCTTCGCGCTGGCGGCGGGGCTGACGGGGGCAGGGGGCGGGAGGAAGAGGAGGGGGGCGCTCCTCCTCCTCCTCCTCCTCCTCCTCCTCCTCCTCCTCCTCCTCCTCCTCCTCCTCCTCCTCCTCCTGCTCCTGCTCCTGCTCCTCCGCCTCCTGCTCCTCCTCCTCCTCCTGCTCCTCCTCCCCCTCCTCCTGCTCCTGCTCCTCCGCCTCCTGCTCCTCCTCCTTCTCCTCCTCCTCCTCTTCCTCCTCCTTCGCCTCCGCCTCCGCATCCGCATCCGCCTCCTCATCTTCCTCCTCCATGTCCTCCCCCTCCTCCTACACATAAACTTTTGACGGTCCGCGCGGATTTCTTGGATCTGCGCCTCGGGTGTCGCCCCTGGCGCGCGCCCGCGCGCCCGGGAGGGTGGGCGGGCGCAGATGCTAGAGATCCAGTCAGAGCGTCAAAAATGTATGTCTGTGCCGTGTTTGCTCCTCTAGCGGAGGGGGGAGTGGGATGATCGATTCCTCGACGCACGTCCCATTGTTGCCTATAGCAGCTGTGCAGATCGGGCGGCGGGTGCCCGCGGGGATGCCGTGTTTGCTCCTCTAGTGGAGGGGGGAGTGGGATGATCAATTCCTCGACGCACGTCACACTTTTGCCTATAGTGAGCAGCTGTGCAGATCGGGCGGCCGGTGCCCGCGGGGTGCTGCGACGCCCGATGAGCTGCCGCAGCCGTGGGCGGTCCCCGGTGGCCCTGGAAGTTCTGCACACTTTGCAGGCGCGAGCCCTCGGCAGGAGGAGTGGGGGTAGGAGGGGGGAGGGGGGGAGGAGGTGGCAGGGCTGCAGGGCGTAAAAGAGAGAGAGAGAGATAGAGAGCGAGAGAGAGAGGGTAGATAGAGAGCGAGAGAGAGAGAGAGAGCGAGCGAGAGAGTCAGAGGCGCAAAGAGAGGGAAACCGATCGAACGAACGTATTCGGGTGGATTCGTGGTCATGGATTCGCTTGTGCGGGAACATGTGATAATTGGTTTTCGGACGCTCGCATGTTCGCCAACGTGGGGAATGCGCTTGAGGATCGCAGCAATTGTTTGATGTTGTGTTGGGCACCGCTTTTCTTCGTGATTACTCTCCTTGGGACTAGGCCACTTTCCGCAGGTATGTCCGAGGACGAAGACCGCAGTGCCCTTCCCAGACACGATCAACAACTACCTTTCAAGTTCGTTCTGCCTCACCACCTGCATGGATCCCATCATGTGCTCCTCTGCCCTCTCTTGCGAGACCTCTGCCAGAGATGGGGCGGCAGGTCGAGGGAAGGGGGAAGGCCGTGGCCGACAGCGGGCTCCTTCCGTCGCTGAGCTTCGGGCGCCAGTACCTTGGGTTCTACTGCATTGCGCTCGCCTCCACGCTGTGGTACAAGGCCCGCAGGCCACAGACAAAACACATCAGCACCCGAGTGGGTACCGCCGTCGATCTGGGCGTCCAAGCGGATGTGCGTGAAGAGAGCACAGCGAAGACCCAGGGAAGGATCAGTCCGAGACCTTCCAGACACAGTGCAGGTGCCCAACACCTCTCTTCTTCCCCAAGCGCTGCTTGCACTAGGGGTCCTCATGCGGGCGATTTCGGAAACCCTGAACCCGAAATCGTTTTCATCTCTTGGGGGCGCATCTTTTACTTCCGCCGAGCTTCCTTTTTTTTTCTAACGCTACACCCTCTAAGAGTCCTTATGGATGTCTTGCGACGGGCCCTATCAAAAACTACCGATATCTCGGCGCAGCATAATTCATTCAAGACGAATTAGCTGGGGCCAGGAGGGAACGCAGAGGCAGGGATGACGGGAAGCACTGGCCTACCGCCCACAGGGTCCCACCCCCGAGCACCCCCCGCATCTTTTACTTCCGCCGAGCTTCCGCCGGCTTCCCCCGGCGGAGGCGGCCTCGTTTTACTTCCGCCGCCCTTCCGCTGATGACAACCCTGTCGATCCTCGGAGGCAAGGCCCTTCTTGGAACGCTCCACGTGCTCTAAGGAACTGGCCTACATTGTGGTGTTTTCGCCCAGGGCCCCGCTGGGCCAGTCCCGCGCGCTGGCCGGCACCTCGCGTCTCAACCCCCCTCCCCCCCGGGCTTTTGGCCAGGGCGGCGAGGCCTGACAGGACCCGCCCCCAAGGGCGGCTCGAGGTCTGCAGCGAAGGGCCCTTCGGCTCTCTTTCCCGAATCCACACTGGGATTTGGCTTTAGCTCAGCTCCGCCTTGCCTGACCTCTCGTCGAGGACTGGCGCCTCTTGCTCTTCGCCCTGTGCCCGCCCGTGCCGGCCTCGTGCCAGCCTCGTGCGCCGGGTCTTGCGTTTCTGGACTCTCGCTCGGTGCCCGCCTGGCCCGTGCCCTCCTCGTGCCGCGCCGTGCTCTGACAGGTGCATCGGTGTTCTTTCCAGGGGATGCGAGGATCGCCCCCGAGGCGAGTTTTGAGCGCCAGCATGTTCGAATGTTTCGTCGCGATGCTGGTTCTTCATGATTATTCCCCACATCCAAAGTGGGGTTCTTGTTTTCTCTGGACACCTCGCGCAGGAACCTCACCTCACCTCCCACCCCTCCCCCCTTCACTCACCATCATCATCATCATCATCATCATCATCATCATCATCATCATCATCATCATCATCATCATCACTCATCGTCACTACTCATCATCACTCTCATCATCGCCACCATCGTCATCATCATCATCACAATCATTCACACTCACACCATTATCATCCTCATCATCAACAACATCCGCATCATTCGATCAATAATCACCATTATCATCCTCATCCTTATCAACATCATCTGTCGGCCACTCATCCTCATCACCACTCATCATCATCATCCTCATCATCATCATCATCATCATCATCTTCATCATCATCATCATCATCAGCATCATCATCATCATCAGCATCATCCTCATCACCGCTCGCTCACTCATCACTTCGTCACCACACACTCCCTAGCTTGAATATGGGGGACGTCTCGAGCGGGAGCCTCGTGGGTGATCGAATTGCGGGGACGTCTCAGGCGGGAGCCCTTTTCCTCATGGGGCCCGCACCTCATCTTTATAATCCGAGTGGGTCATCGGGATCCTGTAACTGTCGTCGGTTTTGGGCTCCTGAGGTCTGAGTATGGGGGAAGTATCAGGCGAGAGCCTCGTCTGCGAGTGACTTGCGAGGAAGTCTCAGGCGGGAGCCCCCTCCCTATGGGGCCCGCACTTCATATTTTTAATCCGGGCGGGCCATCGGAACCTTGTAACTGTCGTCATTTTTGGGGTGTTGAGGCCTGAATGTCTCAGGCGGGAACCTCACCTTATGGGGCCCGCACTAATCTTTTTCATCCGAGCGGGTCATCGGAACTTGTAATTGTCGTCACTTTTGGTGTGCTGAGGCCCGAATATGGAGGAAGTATCAGGCGGGAGCCTCGTCTGTGAGTGAAATTACGAGGAAGTCTCAGGCGGGAGCCTCCTCCCTATAGGGCCCGCACCTTACGTTACTAATCCGAGCGGGTCGTCCCAACCGTGGAACTGTTGTCATTTTGGGGGTGCTGAGAGGGTGAACATGGAGGAAGTATCAGGCGGGAGCCTCGTCTGTGAGTGAAATACGAGGAAGTCTCAGGCGGGCAGTCCCTCCCTATGGGGCATTTCATGTTCGAATCCGAGGCGGGTCATCGGCAGCCTGTAAATGTCGTCACATTTGGGCTCTTCAGGCTTGAGTATCGAGGAAGTCTCAGTCGGGATCTTCGTCGGTGGGTAAATTTCGAAGAAATCGCAGGCGGAAGTTCCCCCCTACGGAGCCCGAACCTCACGTTGGTAATCCGAGCGGATCATCGGCAACCTGTAAATGTTGTCACGTCTGGGTTCCTCAAGCTTGAGTACTCAGGAAGTCTCAGTCGGCAGCATCGTCTGTGAGTGAATCGCGAGGAAGTCTCAGGCGGGAGCCTGCTCCCTATGGGGCTTGCATTTCACGTTCGAATCCGAGGCGGGTCATCGGCAACCTGTAAATGTCACTTTTGGGCTCCTCAGGCTTGAGTACTGAGGAGGTCTCAGTCGGGATTCTCGTCTGTGAGTGAATTTTGAGGAAGTCGCAGCAAGAATCCCCCCTATGGAGCCCGAACCTCACGTTGGTAATCCGATCGGATCATCTGGAACCTGTAACTGTTGTCGTTCTGGCATTTCTCAAGCTTGAGTATGGAGGAATCTCAGGCGGGAGCCTCGTTTGTGAACAAATTGCGAGGAAGTCTCAGGCGGGAGCCCCCTCCCTATGGGGCCCGCACACCACGTTGGTAATACGAAGCGGGCCATCGGCATCCTGTAATTGTCTTCACTTTTGGGCTCCTCAAGCTTGAGTATGGAGGAAATCTGAGGCGGGAACCTTGCCGATCAGTGAATTGCGAAGACGTCTCAGGCGGGAACCCCCTCCTTATGAGGCCCACACTTCACGTTGGTGATTCGAGCGGGTCATCGGCAAACTGAAGGTGTTGTCATTTTTGGGCCAAAACTTGAGCCTCCAGCGGCCTGCGCGGCGACTCTCCGCCATGACGGGTCCCGCACTTCATTTTGGTAATCCGAGCGGGTCATCGGATTCCTGTAATTTTCGTCACCGCTTGGGCTCCTCAGCTCCCGCGGCCTGAATACGGGGGAATGGCTCCTCAGCTCTTGCGGCCAGAAAACGGGGGAAGTATCAGGCGGGAGCTTCGTCTGGGAGCGAAGTGCGGGTAGCCTCGTCTGAGCTGGTCGTCGGGAAATTTGTTGTTGTCATGGGCCTGCGTGCCCGAAAGGGCGACTGAGGAGCTGACGACGACGACGACGACGACGACGACGACGACGACGACGACGACGACGAGACAGCGGCCGGGCGCAGGGGTAGCCCCTTATGTCCGGGCCGGGGGTTGTAACCCATCCTCGGCCGAATCGGGGGCAGGGGGTTGGGCCGCCGGTGGTAACCCATGGGCGGCCGAACTGGGCGCAGGGGTAGCCCTTTGCGTCTGGGCTGGGGGTGGTAACCCATCCTCGGCCGAATCGGGGGCAGGGGTAACCCCTTGTCTCCGGGCTGGAGATGCAGCCGCGCAGAGCGCGTACCTCAAGGCGACCATCGGTGGAAGCAACGGTCAAGACGAGGGCGCCGAGGCGGGCGAGGGCGTGGAGCACCGAGGCGCGCCTGCTTTGGCGGCTCAAGCGCATTTCCAGCCAGTCCCGACGTGGGGCATCGACGGGGAGCAGGACACGGTGGACGCGCTGAACTTCGCGCACCGCAAGCGTTTCACGAAGCTGGCCAAGGAACTCCTCGCGTTCCCGTGCATGTCCGTGGCGGTCCGCGAAGACGTGGCCGCGCCCGCGCCAGCGGACGCCGCGACCGTTCCTGCGCCCGCGGCCGGGTGCCGACCGCCGGCGACTGCGGCGCGCGAAGAGAGACATTCCTGGGCGAAGCTGCGCGACGACCGCCTGCAGGGCAACGGCGGCGAGGATGACGCGGGCGCCAACAACGGCGCGGACGAGGACACTGGCGGCCTGGGCGGCGCTCCCGCTGCGGCCAGCTTCGACGGCAGCGCGCACGCCGCGCCGAGCGCGCACATCGCCCACATGGTCGCTGAATTGCCAGAGGACCAGAGACTCACGCGGGACCAGACGCTTTTCGTCGCCAAGTGCGCCAAGGCCTGCGACGAAGCGTGGGAGGACGACGTCCAGAAGAAGCCGTGGGCCGAGAGAAGAGTGACACACTTGCTCTTGCTGGGCCAAAGCGGCTCGGGGAAGACGCACGTTGTGCAGAAGATCGTCTTCCCAGTGGCCGTGTATTTGTGGCCCTCGCTGGCTCAGGACAAGGCCACCATGATGGTGGTGGATTTTTCGAACGCGCAAGCGAAGAATATCTCCACGGAGACGGTGAAGGTCAGAACCCTGCACAACGCCTGCGCTCTGCGAGTCCAGAAGTACATCAACACGGAGATGAGGCCTGGGAGCATGCAGAAGAGATCGAAGTGGTTGTGGGAGCACGTCCGCGTATTCGCCATCGAGGAGGTGAGCATTGTCACGGCAGCGCTCTACAACGCGCTAGACATTCAAGCACGACGTGCAGGAGTCAACCTACAAGCGGCCGCACCACCACTTCGGGCGCGCCCCCATCGCGCTGCGCCTCGGCGATTTCCTGCATCTGAAGCCCGCGGGCAGCATCGGCCTCCTGACGGACGCGAACGAGCTCCTGGACGACGGACGCACGTACAAGTACGCGGAGCCGCCAACGGTGGAGATTCAGCACGCCATCAAGGTCTTCTCTCAAATCCCCTGCGTCTTCGAGCTGAAGGGGGCGAAGCGCTTCGAGCCCGGGGGCCCTCTGATCACGTTCCTGGGCTGCACGCTCGAGGGCAAGCCCTTCCCACCGGATGCCTTGTCCGCCTGGGAGAGGACGTTGGCGTCGGACAGCCGCGGCGACCTGGACCCTCGGCACTAGCACGAGAACTTTCGGCTCGGCTGCGGCATGGGCGTCTATTGGAAGATGCTGGCGATGTGGATCAACGCGCGCGCTCGTCGCGACGCGCGGCGCCTGGGTGCGCCCCTCGTTTTCTTGCAGGCCGTTGACGAGTGCAGCGCGATTCAGGGCGACCCCGACGCGGGCCGGCGCCTCCTGAACGTCCCAAACATGCACAGGACGGGGCACATCCACGGCGCCTTGCCAGCTCACGTCGGCACGGAGGTGCGATTCACGGCAGCGCAGGAAGAGTCGAAGCAGAAGTTGGGGCTCGCGAAGGAACAACGGGCCGCCAGCGCGCCCTTCGAGTTCCACTGCGAGGGCGAGCAGCGGCGCGAGGGGCGCTCGGCAGGCCAGCTCTTTCGCCCCCGGTTCCTACCGCAGGGAATCTGGCTGCAGGCGCACGGCTTCAAGGAGTCCCCGATCCACGAGGAGGTCGCCGAGGTGCTGCGGCAGGGCGCCGAGGGCGCCGACGACGACGGCCAAGCCGAGGCGCGGGCTCGGAGTTTGCTGATGTTCAGGCCCAGCGAGCCGGAGTTCACCTGGCAGGGCTCGGGGCCGCGCACTGCGCGCCGCTCGGGGTCCACCGCGACTCACGCGCCCCACTTCGCCTCCACGCTGTCGCAGGGCCAGACGCTGCGCAAGCGTCACCATCGACTGCGCGAGGGGCGAGGACGCCGGCCGCGCGGGCACGTCGGGCGACCAGTGGTGGCTGCACCTCTACGTCATGCTCTCCCGCGCCACGCGCGCGCGGAACATGCTGATCTTGCGGCCGCCATCGCGCGTGCATCTGGGGCGCGGGCCGCCGGCGCCATTGCGGGAAGTGCTCAAGGAGTTCGATGAGAAAGCGAAGACCTCCAGGGATCAGGCCGAGCAGCCCGCCGCGGAGCTTAGCTTCGCGCTGCCCCCCGCCTGAGCGCCGCGGCGCGCAGCTCGAGGCCCGCGGGATTATCCCGGCGGTCTGGCCCGCGGGGTTGCCCCGACGGCCTGCCCTCGCGCCCCAGCGGCCCGCGGGGCTGTCCCATGGGCATGGCCCGCGGGGCTGTACCAGAGGGGCTCCGCGATCTAGCCGTCGGCGAACGCGCGCGCGTTGGCCGAGGCGGCGACGGCGCCGAGGGAGATCGACTTGCTTGCCCCGACCGGGGAGAAAGGAGGTCACATTGGGAAGCGGCAGGATGGAGGGCGACGATGAGGAGGAGGTGGAGAAGGAGGAGGAGGAGGAGGAGGAGGCGGATAGATAAAAAGGAGGAGGAAGAGGAAAGAGCAGAGCTCAGGGCGAGAGGAAGATGTCGCCAGGGCGACGGGGAAAGGGCTAAGGGTAAGCTAAACAGGTTCTCATGCGGGGTCTTACCGTCGGAGTACTTCGTTTTTGGAAATCGAGCCATACCGTGGAGGCCCATGCCAAGAGACTCCCTGCTTGCCTCCAGGGTGCCCTGGGTCTCTTGGGTTTCGATGGCTGGGCTTTGGAAGGCGTGACGTTTCCACACCAAGAACCCATGGACGTCCTGGGGTCTCAGGGCCGGGTTTCTTTTGGAAGGTTTCTTGTGGATGGGCCTCCACTGTACCCCTTGAGGCGAGCTTTGAGCGCCAGTGTTTTCGAATTGTTGCTTTCACGCCGGCTCTGCATGATACTTCGTTTTTAGATATCGAGCCATGGCATGTGCAGGGTGTGTGTGTTGGCCCACCCATCATCCATGTCGAATGCGGTCTTGACGTGTTTGCGCGTCCATTCCGGCCCCTTCCACAAGCGATGCCCACGCGAGTTGTCGTAGGAGTATCGTGAAGGCTTCCTGGGGCCATTTGTTGGAAAAGCTAGAAGGGGGCAGGAGGACAGGAGGAGGAGCAACAGGAGGAGCAGGAGGAGGGATAACGAAAAGGATCAGGAGGTGGCGCAGGAGGAAAGGATGAGGAGGAAAACAAGGAGGAAGAGATGAAGAAGGATGTCTTCGCATATCTTGCTGTTGGAGCTGTTTGAGCTGTCTTGGCGCTTTGGGGGGTCCTTATGGGGGGCGCCATCTTCAGGCCTCAGAAGCCTATCGAAGCCGAAATTGCGATAATGCAAAACTCAATGGCCCCCCCATAAGCGCTAGAGGGATGTTGACCTCGTGTGAGCATCCTTAGGAGTTTCCGTGATCCCTCGGAACCGTCTTGGGGGAGGGGGTTTTGAGGCTTCTTGGACGCATAGTGTTTGCTGGCCATTTCAGGATATGTTGAGCCATCTTGGAGGTCGTCGTGGGCTCCTTGAGGCCGGCTTGTAACCATGTCAGCCGGTTGCTCTTGAGATGCCGAAAGTCGGCACCCGCCAATTCTGTATGCGGGCCATTCGCGCGCGTCTCCTCGCGCGCACGTCGAATTCATGGCACTGCCACTAAGTTCCCACTGTCAGTGCAGGTGTGTTCAAATCGTACATGTGACACATGTGTGCTTTTCAATCGCACGTTTCTCATAGATTCTGAGCGCGCGAACATCCTCACCATCATCGGCACCAGAGTCAGCATCATCGCAAGCGCCGTCATTGCCATCGCCGTCGTCTTCACCAGCATCTTCATCACCATCACGATCTGCGCGTTGCGCGCCAGCGCGGCCTTTGAGACGCGATGGGAAGTTGGTAGAATCGCCGTCGCGGCCGCATCCTCTGTGCCAGAACAGCTGGCCGCGGCTGTGCCAAGCCAGCCGGCCGTTCTGTCTCGAGTTTGCGCGCGATGTCGTTGCCGCAGAGATGCGTCAGCCAGTATCAAGGAGTGAGTCACCGCAATCTCGGCCGCATGGGTTCCGCAAAACAAGATGCGGGTGGGAGGGTGGGATGATTGCGCGAGCAGCGCCTTTGACAGTTCATTCGTCGGCAGTTATGAGTTATCCTGTCAAAAGAAACCCGAACTCCACCACCCTCTCATCCCCCTGGACTCATCGATACACCCATGGGGCACTTCAAAGTTCAGGTTGTTTTGTTTCGTCGTGTACTTCCCGTTTGAACCCGGTCAATCCCATGCAAGCCTGGTATCACCCCTAAAAAGAAAACGTATACACATTTGCCAACGAAAGCGATGCACGCACAATCCATTCTATCGCAAAAGATACTTTCCCAGATTATCTTGCACAGAAAACAAGCCAACATGAAGTCCATATGGGCGCACACATGTCGAAACCACGCCAAAGGAGCCAGTTTGACAAGGAGTTGAATCCAAACCCATAGAATACTATCAAAATATCTATATCTTCACAAGTCTTGCACATGATCTGCCCGCGCGCAATTGCAACATACAACTCAAAAAGTGCACCAGGTCGCCAAGAGCCCGCATTCTCATCAGACCACGCGGTGCATGTGCGTCGATCCAGCACGCACCCACTGCGCACAAACTTGTACCAACTAGTGGCCTGAGGGCCATACGCGCGCGCCGCCATACGAGTATGCCGAGATCCGCGCAGATCTTGTTGGAATTCTGATGAGGCAGATTCCGTTTGTAGAGGATTTCAGTAGAATTCCTTGTGTCGCGGATTTCAATGGAATTCTTTTTGTTGCGGATTTAAAAAAGATTCCTTGTGTCGAGGATTTCAAAAGGATTCCGTTTAGAAAGGATTTCAATCGAATTCTTTTTGTGATGGATTTCATTCGGATTCCATGTGTAAAGAATTTCAAGTCCGATTCCTTGTGTAAAGGATTTGTTTACACATGGATTCCTTGTGTGGCGGATTCACAGATTGATTCCTTCTGTGGCTGATTTACAAATTGATTCCATGAGTGGTGGATTTACATGTTGATTCCTTGTGTGGCGGGTTTACAAACTCATGTTCTATAGCGCGATTTCAAGTTGATTTCTTTTGTGGCCGATCTACATGTTGAATACGCTTGTAGCGGGTCTGCAATATGAGCCCTTCGACGGCGGACTCGTTGTACGGCGATGCCCAATAAGTTGCACCTCGCAAGTTTCAGCGCATCCGTTGCTCCTCAAAGGATTCACAACGTCCGAGCACTTCACTCCACGGGGCGCACGCGCTGTTCTTCACATGGTGATCGCCAGACGTTGCCATTTGACATGCTCTACTCCTCCGAGCTGTTTCGCGTTCCCGTGCGCAGGGCCTCACCTTCGTGTACCCGACGGGGGCCATCGTGGAGGAAATGGCGCGCCGCCGGGTGGCGTCGGGGTGGCGTGCGGCGTGGGGGAATCGGCAGTGGCGTTTGCAGGTGGGGAATCGGCGTGGCAGTGGCGTCGGGGTGGCGTGGGTTGTTTCTAACAGGTCCGGTCACCGCACGGTCTGGAGTGGCCGGTGCCACGATGGAGGGGACCCGCGAGAGGATGAAGGGGTCAGCAAAGCCATTCGTCACCTCATTTGACGGTCTTGGGATTTTGATTGTGTTGGCAGGCTATCGGTGACAGGAGTGATGCCATAGTGGAGACCATAGAATGAAGGTTGTCGTCCGCAATTGGCTCGAGCATTACTGCTGATGTGGGCGGTAATGTTGCATGGCTAGCTGAAAATGGGCCGCTTGTTCTCGGGCTGGAGCCACGCGTGGGGACAGATGCGATGTCGCTCGAGGGAGAGGCAGATCGGTACGGAAAGAGGAGACAGCAAGCCAGTGCGAAGGGCACAGGGGAACCAGTCGAAGTTCGCACATGTTGCGAATGTGCGCTTGAATGTGAATGCCCTTGGTACAGCCCGCGCGGGATGCCAGGGCATGATGTACTCGGCTTCGCCTCTCGGAGCGACAGGTCCATAGCCACGCCGAGTTCGTTCGCATCCCAGAGTTGTATTCAATCAACACCACTGGGGCTTGCCATTGCCGAGGGGTGTAGTAGGCCAGTGCTCCAGTGGGGATTGGTCTGGGAATGGTTGCCCAGATGGAGGTCAGCGGTGGATCGGGAGAGGGAGCGCAGCAGTTCAGTCATGAAAGTAGATCGAGGACTCCGCGATCCCTCGAGGTATTTCTGGTCAGCTTCTACGCGCTGCAGCGCATGAGGCTCTTCTTCGGGCTGCAGGGCTTGAAGACGCAGCGGAAGCCGATGATCGTGGCCTTCGTGTGGATGGCTGTGCCCGCCGCATGTGCCATAGGCACCCGCTCCTTATTCCCGTGACCTTCAAATCAGCCTGGGGATTGTTGTTCATAGTCATGATCAGTTCGGGCCCCCCTGTGGCATTCATAGCCGGATTTGGAACATCTGCACTTTGGTTTCTTCTCGTGTGTTCTACCCCTCGGGAGATTGGGTCGGATCGGGTCGGCGTCTTAGATTTCATCGAGGAGGAGCGATGGTGCTCACTAGTAGGCATTCATTAACGAAGCCCGAAGGGAGGCGACCAGCACATCCCGCTGCGGTGGCTGTCGGCCTGAGAGTGATTTTATACAGTTATCCGAGATTACGGTCGGGAGTTTTGGGACAGCGTGTCGCTCCGCCGGTTTTGGCCAACCACGCTTCGGCGCGACACGCCATCCACTCCCAGGCTCCCAGGCGCCAAAGCCCCGAGTTTGCCCGAGCCTCCCGCCCAGTGAGGCGGAGCTTGGCATCGCTCGGATGTGTGCATTTTTCTCGGCGAGAACCATGGAGGACCATCCTGGACCATCGAGCCAAAAAAAACACGCACGAAACCGAAAAATGCACCTGAAATGGACGTCCGAGCGATGGCAAGGGAGCGATATGCGATCGGTTCGCAGGTCACAGCCTGTCGCCGGGGCCGCCGCCGCGACACGCGATCCAGAAGTTCTTGACCGACGTTTGGCTTCTCGAGGAGCGCAAACTGTGGATCCAACAGCCTCTACAATGACACAATAGGAATACTACTCTCCTCTCGCCCCTGACTCTGTCCGAAGAGTCTCCCATCCTCTCCGCGTATTGTTGTTTTTGTGCACTGGATGTTGTTAATTGTCTTTTTCCGCGAAGAGTTTCCATCCAGTCGTTCTTGGTTCTTCCAAAATGGTGTTCCCGCTTCAGCGCCTCCCTTATTTCCGCGCTTCGGTCATTCAACATCGTGCTTCCACTGCAGCGCTGGCCTCGTTCCCGCGCCTCGGTACGGCACTTGGCATTCGAAAAGTGCCCACATCGGGCAAGCACAGTGGCGGATGACCTGGAGCCGGCATTCCAGGCAGGCTTTGTCCTCTCGCAGACGGGCCACTTATTTTCCAAGTCATCCAGTGCCATGCCACGGCATGCAATGCGATGTTGTGTTGTGCACAGTTGTGCGATGCCATGCTTTGCGTTGCTATGGTCTGTGACGCAGTGCTTCACTACGCACTGCCACGCCATGCTATGGCATGGTATGCATGCTCTGCCGGGCTCTTCTACGCCATGCTTTTCCATACATCGAGTACCCTCTTGGGATCACTAGCTCGGCGCCTTTTCCCTCCCCCCCAGGACGCCCACAAGCCCCCACGAGGCCGCATGGGGCGGCAACGTGGAACATCCTCGGCTAACCCTTTCCAATTGTTGAAGAAAAGAACGAAGAACCCCTAAGTGCAAGCACTGCTTGGCGAATCTCGCGGCTTATCGACTACAATTCGCAAGTTCATTGTGCGGCCGTCTTGGCCAGGTAAAAACGCGTGGCATGGGCATCAGAGCTGTGCGTTCAGTAAACGGGCGCTGTTGTTCGTAAGCGCTCACACTGGCCCCCTAGATAGCATGAGTATTAAGCTGAGCCGGAGTTGTGACCCAGCATGCTGCCTCGAAGGCCAGCCCATAGCACCAGAAGTGGTAACAGAGCTGGAGTGCTTCCCAGGTCTTCTTCGCCTCTTTCGCTCCAGCTTCAGACGGGGCCTAAAAGGGATGTTCGTGACACAGGAAGCGGGAGCGAGTTGTTTGCGCATCGCGACAGGCTACCATATCAATTTCCAGGTATACGTCTTGCGGCTGGAGGTCATCGCGTGCGCGATATCATTGTTTTTGCTCGCGGTTGAGACCACATTCGGGTGCATGCTCGGGGTGTTCAGTGCAGATTCTCTGTTAGAGCAGTGTGTCCTAGGGCTCGGCTTCGCCATGAGCCTGAGTGCAATCATTGTGATGGTGGCTCTTCACACTCCCCGCGAGTCAGATCACCGTCTTGTTTGACCACTGGGTGGGTTACTCTTCTTCTGCAAGCGGACGGGCTCTTGGCTGTGGTGGTTGACTGCTTATCCTTGAGCGAGGCAGATGGTGACTGTGTGCAGCTTCTGCGTGGTAGGAGATGTTGCACGCTTCGCGTCGGAAGGGCCAACAGCGCTACGTAGACTTTCCAGAGCCAACGTACGGACTTGCGGTCGACGCTGAAGTCGGACGAAATTCGGGCGAGCGTGCGGGGCTGTACGTAGTGCAGCTGTGTTGAGACGAGGGATGTTCTTCATTATCACTGCCTGAGTGTTGCCATGGCGTGTTCCCACTGGCTTTCTTGCATGAGCACGGGCTTCGTTATCCTTTCCTGAAGCGGGATAGGTAGTTGATCTCACAACTCAGACAGCTCGCGCCGGGCCATGGTCTTGCAGGTTGTTCACACCAAGCGAGGACGAGACACCAAATGAGTTGCACATCGAGTCCGTGGTCTATAGTCGCAGGACGACTGAGTGTTTGCCGACTGATCTGGGCTTGTTACCCATTTGTTGCCCACATCTTGGGCGAGAACCTGGCAGCGCCATCAACTGAATGGCGTCACCCAGGGCTTCTCGAGGCACTCTCCATGACCGTGTGGCTGCTGCGCGCGAAGAAAAAATGCGCCGCGAGATCCGCATTGTGTTTCAATGATGCCATCGCACATCAGTTGGGCAGATGTTCGTGTGCTTCCTCTTGCGCGAAAAAGTGCCCTGTATCCGGAGAGGGCTTAATGTTCCCACAAATCTCGTCGGGGGGAGGAGAAGGAGGAGGAGGAGGAGGAGGAGAATGAGGAGGAGGAGGAGGAAAGGAGGAGGAGGAGGAGGAGGAGGAGGAGGAGGAGGAGGAGGAGGAGGAGGGAGGAGGGAGGAGGGAGGAGGGAGGAGGGAGGAGGAGGAGGAGGAAGAGGAGCAGGAGGAGGAACGAGAGGAAACTGAAGTCGCGCCGCGGGGAGCGCGCCCGCGCCCCCCAGAAGCTGAGGCCAGCGCATCGAGGCGCGCGGGCGGGGAGGCATGCGGCCAAGAGCCCAGCGCGCCGGTCCGCTGTGAAGGGGACGCAGAGACTCAAGCAGTGGCGAAGCGTCCTGGCGTGCCTATAGGCCTACCAAACAATGTTCTAAGAACTTTTTGTGGTTTCCACGAAATGTTCTCAAAACATTTTTGGCTGGGACTGTTGTCTTGTTTTAAAACGTCGGGCTTATCTTCTGAGAGCATTGTTTCTGTGCTTAGAACATGTGTGGGTTCTAAGAACATGTCGTGGTAGGCCTATGGGAATGCCGGGATGGTCGGTCCCTGCTCAAGACACGAGAGAGCACCCGAATGCGCCTCTTCAGCTTCGAGAGGAAGCGTCAACGATGACGCGTCGCCACAAGAAGCCACCCGGCGACACCGCGACAGCCGCGGCGGGGCTTGGAGTGTAGCGAGATGCGCCCCGCAGTCCTGCAGGTAGGCGGGCGGACGGGGGAAGCAAGCCCGACGCTCTCCTGACGTGTTGTCGGGGCATCTGGGTTGGAGATCGTGGTTGGGCCTCCAATCTGGACGCCCGAGATGGGCACGGAAAGAATGGGTACGATGCCTAACAGCAGTTCTTCTTCATTCTGAACAGGATTCGCTGTCCACGCCGCCGCGGCCTGTGTCCATTCGAGGCAGGAGGCCGCCTGCCCAACAGCGGCCGCTGTTGGTTTGGGACAACATTTGTTGTTGGGCATCGTACCCATTCTTTCGGTACCCATGTCGGGCGTCCAAATCCAAAGAGTCCGTGGCCGTTGAGCTCAGAACGGTCGACCAGCCAACGTACAGCGAGCTGGTTCGTCCCTCTGGGTGCGCTGTTCTGGGTCATTCTGATTTCAAGTGCTGGTCGGATGTGTTTGCGACGTTCCCACGGAGACGACACACCCAATACGGATACCGGCGAGCCCAAGCAGGTCGAATTAGGTGGCTCGCGCGATCGCGGCATGCAGCGACGCATCAGCCCCATGAGTGTCAGATGCATCTGTTGCGCAACCTTAATACAGTCGGGGCCCACGCCAAGAAACACCTTGCTTGCCTCCAGGGTGCCCTGGGTTATTTGGGTTTCGATGGTTTTTGAGATGGAAAGCGTGACGTTCCCACACCAAAAATCCATGGACGTCCTGGTGCCTCAGGGTTGGGTTTCTTGCGGAAGGTTTCTTATGGTTGGGCCTCCACTGTACAGTACTACGATTTTTGTGACGCTTCTGGTTTGGAGCCGTGTAGGACTTGCCCAGCACCCATCGACGCTGCAATTGCAAGCGCACGGTAGGTTCACGCGGCGTTGGCGCGCCGGCGACGCCGGCGAAGGTGTTCCAGGTCGAATTCTGCCACGCGGACGCACCAATCGGAGACGGCAACGCCACTGGACCCCACAATCCTGAACGATCGGGGCCACGATCGATTCAAGGTTGAATCATCGACGCGGTGTCAAAAGCCTTTGCGCGCGCCGACGCCGCACGAACTTACCGTAATGTCAATGGAAACCGCATTGTTGGTGCTGGATTTGGCTTGAGAATTTGGTCCCCGGACCCTCCACGGACCGCCTGCCGAGCCATAGAGCGTTGCGCTTCAGGTTTCGACAGGCTTCTGTCTGCCAGCAGCAGTCAGACCAGGTCGGAGCTTCTTCCGATGGCACGGTAGCACGTCTCGTCCGTCATCACGCTCCAGTTAAATCCACACTGCCGCGTCTTGGTAATTGACAGCGTGCTGCACATTAAAGAAAGAAACCTGCACGATTGGCATGTGGCATATCAGACGGTTACGGGTGCGAATGTTTCGATTCGGGTTTGCAGGTGACGTTGGATTTGCTTATAGTTTCGGGTGCAGTCCGAATTTGGCATTCGCGCAGTAAAATGTTTGTCGATTGGCGTTACTGCTGAATTGCTTGTCGCGTCAGTTCGCAGGTCGTTCTATTATCATGGCCTCTGGCTCGTGCCGCCGAACAGGGGCGCCCCTAGTGTTTGAGGACCGCCACCGCGTAGCGAGGAGCGAAGAGGCTTGATGCTTTAGGTGTACGGAGGTGTTCGATGGTTCTTAGTTCAGTGCGTTCGCTTCTCACCACCCACCAAACCACCCCAACCCAACCCGAAGGCCTCAATTTGCCGTCCATTTCCAGTGTGGGGGGGTCGGGGAACATTGAAAAAACACATGGAACCCGTACCCCCCCCACCGGAAATTCGGGTCAGATTCGGGTCTTCGGGTTGGGTTGGGGTGGTCTGGTAGGTAGTCAGTCAGCTTACGAGCAATGCCAACTTCAGACCAGGCAACTTTGACCCGGCAGCGCGCGAGGCGGCGCTTCTCGGGCCTTCGTGGTGGTTTTGTGGCTTCGTCTTGGAAGCCTCTGCAGGCCTCTTTGCGACCTCTTGGGGTCTTCTTGGAGGCCCCGCGGAGGCCGCTGGGGGGCCTCATGGGGAAGCCTCGCGAGCCTCTTGGGGGCTTTGGAAATCTTCGTTGGGTAGACGGCTAGAGGGGCTTGTTCGATTTCCGCTCTTGGGCCCGTCTTGGGGCCGTTTCGGGGGACCCTTTGAGTTCGCTGGCCGTTTTATTTCTCGCGAGCCTCTTGGAGGTAGCCCGAATTTGGCGGGGGAACCGCATACGAATTTTGCCATTGAGGCACTGAGTGGAGCTTCGTATGGTGCCGCGACACGTGTGAGGAGTGCGGCGAAATTGGCGGGGAACCGCATGCGAGCTTTGCCGCTGGGACCTTCGGTGGAGCTCCCTATGGGGGCAGCGAAGTGTGAAGGTTGTGCCGACACGGGCGGGGATGCGAATTTTACCATTGAGGCCTTCGGTGGAGCCCCCTGTGGGGCCGCGACACGTGTGAGGGGTGTGCCGACATGGGCGGGGAATCGCATGCGAACTTTGCCCGTGGGGCTGTCGGTGAAACTTTTTTTCTGGGGCCGCGACACGTGTGAGGGCTGTGCCGAGATGAGCGGGGAACCACATGCGAACTTTGCAAATGGGACTTTCTGTGGAGCTTCCTATGGGGGCCGCGAAGCGTATGAGGAGTGTGCCGAAATGGGCGGTGAACCACATGCGAACTTTGCCAGCGGGGCCGTCGGTGGAGTCCTCTATGGGGCCACGAGGCGTGCGAGGGGTGTGCCGAAATGGGCGAGGAACCGGATGCGTAGTTTGCCATTGAGACCTTCGGCGGACCTCCTTATGGGGCCGCGACACGTGTGAGGGATCTGCCGACATGGGCGGGCGATCCGCATGCGAACTTTGCCGCTGGGGCCTTCGGCGGAGGTCCTTCTGGAATCGCGAAACGTGCGAGGGATGTGCCAAAACGGGCGGGGAACTGCATACGAACGTTGCCATTGGGGCTTTCGGTGGAGCTCCTTGTGGTGCCACGAAACGTATGAGAGGTGTGCCGACATGCAACTGGTGCGGAGGGCAGAGGGAGGGATGGGATCAGGGAGGAAGGGGGGGAGAAAAGGAAGTGGGAACTGTTCCTTCAAAGTGAGACCCAGATGGTTGGGGAAAAAAGGCGGCGTGACCATGACACCACAGCGGCGTGACCATGAGCGACCCCCCGTGCGGCGCACGATCAACATATCTCCCCAAAAGGTTTTTACAACAAATAAACACGATCAGCATCGGCATCTCTGCTCCTTTGATTTCTATCGGGCATTCTGGGAAGGGGGTCCCTCTTGGCTGCTTTACTTTGCACCCCGCGCCGATCATGCCTGACGTCAGCCTCCCCAACCTCTGCTCGTGTTGGATGTGGTGTTCCTGGAACTATGCATGCATATCGTCATCGACACATGTTACTCTCTGCTGTACTGAACGCTTGAAATACACGCTTGCAAGTATGATCCTCCACAGTAGTATTGAGCCCAGTCGTTGCGCCACGCCTAAATCAATTGCGTGGAGCACGTCTAACGCCAACGTAGATGCAGGGCTCGACTTCAAAGCGTCAAAGAATATGGGGCTGCGGCGGGTCAACTTGCGCCGTCCCGCCTCACCCGCCAAAACACACAGTCAAACGGTACTGGCTTGGTCCAGATTCTCCTGATGTCCAAAAGCGCATCTCCCATCTGAAGTGGCATCGCCCAAGGGCCCAGAGGCCACAATGGGGTGCGTAGGCGAAACAGAGGCACCGGCAGCCCGCGTCGCAGGACCGGCCGAAATCGAAGCTGAGCCGGCCCGCGGCCCCCCTCGCAGCCGCCGAAGCACTGGCAGAAGCCATGGCAGAATTGGTCGAACTCGACCGAGAACAAACCTGCGATGCATTCGTGGCCTGACTCGCGGTCGTGCCCAACGTCGCCGACTCAGAACAGGCTGGGCCCGACGTCCACGTGGGCGGGGGGGCTCTGACCATCAGGGGCTGAACCCCTGCGCCCGCCGCCCCGAAATGAAAAAGGGCACGAGCTCGACGAGACATTTGTGTTGCCAGCGCCTGCCAAATGAGGCCGTCCCCCCGAGGGGGGCACCATTGTGAAGCCATCCTGTGAACGCCGATGCGGTGCCAGCGAGTCCAGGAATTCCTTGGCCTCCTTGAAGCTGTCGGCCTGACGCAGCAGCTCCACCTGCCAGGCGTCGTAGTCCTTGGACTCCAAGCCACGAAGCATACTCAAGTAGCACGCCCTCTGATTGCGCCTGGCGCGCCATGCTCGCTCGCATATGCAGGCGGCCGTGTCTAACGCAGCCACCGCGGGGTCGCCGAGGCGAGCGGCTGCTGTGGCCTCCAGCGGCCGAAGGGCAGGCTGAGCCAAGAAGCAGGTCACGAACGAAGTGCTGTGCTG